GCAAGCTCAAGATCGAAGACTTCGAGCTCCTCAAAGTCGTGGGCAAAGGCAGCTTCGGCAAGGTTATGCAGGTGCGGAAGAAGGACACAAACCGTATCTACGCGCTCAAGACGATCCGCAAGGCCCACATCATCTCGAGATCCGAAGTCGCGCATACGCTGGCCGAGCGTTCGGTCCTCGCCCAGATCAACAACCCCTTCATCGTCCCACTGAAGTTCACATTCCAGAGCCCCGAGAAGCTGTACTTTGTCCTGGCATTTGTGAACGGCGGCGAGCTCTTCCACCACTTGCAGAAAGAGCAGCGTTTCGATGTTAACCGCAGCCGATTCTACACCGCCGAGCTGCTCTGTGCTCTCGAGTGTCTCCACGGCTTCAACGTTATTTACCGCGACCTGAAGCCCGAAAACATTCTTCTAGACTACCAAGGTCATATTGCCCTGTGCGACTTTGGCCTGTGCAAGTTGGACATGAAGGACGAGGACCGTACCAACACGTTCTGCGGGACGCCCGAGTACCTCGCCCCCGAGTTGTTGATGGGCAACGGCTACAACAAGACGGTCGACTGGTGGACGCTTGGTGTGCTTCTGTATGAGATGTTGACGGGACTGCCACCGTTTTACGACGAGAACACCAACGAGATGTACCGGAAGATTCTCAGCGAGCCCCTGCACTTCCCCGGACCCGAGATTGTGCCGCCTGCGGCCAAGGACCTCTTGACCAAGCTGCTGAACCGCGACCCTCAGCAGCGGCTGGGGGCCAATGGATCGGCCGAGATCAAAGCACACCCCTTCTTCCACGCCATAGATTGGCGCAAGCTTCTACAGCGGAAGTACGAGCCTCAGTTCAAGCCCAATGTGGTATGTAGCCGATCCGCGTCTGTTTGCGGGTTATGCTCTCCGAAATAACCCACTGACCCTTTTCCTGCTTAGGTTGATGCGCTTGACACGGCCAACTTCGACCCCGAGTTTACGTCGGAGCCGCCACAGGATTCCTACGTCGACGGAGATGTTCTCTCTGAGACGATGCAGAACCAGTTTACTGGCTTCAGCTACAATCGTCCAATTGCCGGCCTAGGAGACGCTGGCGGCAGTGTCAAGGACCCTTCTTTCGTTGGCAGTATCCAGGACCGCAGATAAACGGAGTCCCCGGTGGTAGTGGTCAATGACGAGAAATCGGTTTAGGCGCGAGATCTGTGCCAGAGAATCGCACATGGTCGATATATCCAAGCATCCTCGGCGCCCCAGTGGTTCACGGATGTGCTTGTGAATGTGGAGGACGGTGTATGGGGACAGATGGACAAAAGCGGAAGCGGGGGTCCCCGATAAAGAGTCTTTACTGAAGGAGTCTGGTCTTGATTCTGGGGCCGGGGTGAAAGTGCCTTTGACAAGGCTCGGACCGTGCCGCTTATTTACGGCGTCTACGTTTCGCATTTGGAGTTTGGCATGATCACGAGGGACTTTTTTTGGTACTTGTGTTTCTGTTTTATTTTCTTTTCGGCTGAAGACGGTGTAGAATATGCTCCTCAGCCTGGGACGAGGAGACGAAGCCAGACAAACAATCCAGACATGTCAACGCTCCCGGCTGGCCGGTCTGGCCGTGCTGTGTCGGTTGCTGTGACCAAGGAGTGCGAAAGCAGGATTGGGCTCACAGCGAAGTCTCCTGACTAAGGGGCAAACCCTCCTATTCTTTGTCAGCGGGCGTTATTGGGGCCCTGACTAATGATGCAGTCGGATGAACCGGTGGCAGAGTTACACTAACAAACCAAGTTAATGGCAGTGGAACACAAGCACATTAATAACTCACGCATCTGGGCAATGCGAGTTGGATAAATCGGAGGGTGAGGACGTCAGGGTGAGCGTGATGGTGAGGGGTTGGACGGGGTGGGGTGAATGAAAGAGAAGCCCGGGCAGCGGGGCCAAGCTAGGTGACGTGGGGTGACATTTCGTCCTTACTGAGCACCACTAACTTCGAATCGAAGAGCCCAGAACTCAAACCCCCTCACTCTCCTTTGGCACTGTCCTCGTCCCTTCTATCGAGGACTTCCAGGTTGTATTATACTCCTAGGTCAACCCAACAGCTCTGGTAAGCGTGCGCTTTTTCCGTTCTTTTTTGGCTTAAGATTTGAAACCAACAGGGAAATCCTCCCTGGCGGTGCCGCCGGTTCATTGTCAAACTGAATGCTCAATTGCGGGGCAACATGCGTTCCCGCATCATCACCCCTCCTCCGTTACTCCGATCGCAGGACTCTACACACACAGTTCCAACCTGAAGTTCTCTCGCTCAACTAATACGTACTCGTTTCTCTGTAGCGTTCAGTTATATTGCGTGGATATCCCCTAGGCTTCTCCCAAAACCACACGAAACCCACAGCCACAGCTCCAGCCCGACGAAAATGGCCCCAGCAACAAGTCTTGCGGCGTGGTCCGACCTCCAGGCGCATCATGACACCGTCGGCAAGTCGATTGTGCTCAAGGAGGCCTTCAAGTCCGACCCGGAGCGCTTCCACAAGCTGTCTCGCACCTTCACGCTCCCCGGCAGCATCGCCAGCGGCCCGAGCGGCACCGAGATCCTGTTCGACTTCAGCAAAAACCTCGTCACTGAGGAGACGCTCGACAAGCTCGTCAAGCTCGCCCAGGAGGCGGGCGTCGAGAAGAAGCGCGATGCCATGTTTGCCGGCGAGAAAATCAACTTCACCGAGGACCGCGCCGTCTACCACACCGCCCTGCGTAATGTCGAGAACGTCGAGATGAAGGTCGACGGCGTCGATGTCATGAACACAACCGGCGGTGTCAACGAGGTGCTCCAACACATGAAGGTCTTCTCCGAGCAGGTCCGCAGCGGCGACTGGAAGGGCTTCACGGGCAAGAAGCTCACCACCATTATCAACGTCGGTATTGGCGGCTCCGATCTGTAAGTTACTGCCGCCCTCTGGTGTTCTGGTTAGTAGTATGCGAACCCCTTCTGACTCTCTGGTTGGTGGATAGCGGCCCCGTCATGGTCACGGAAGCTCTCAAGCACTATGGCGCCAAGGACATGACGCTGCACTTTGTCTCCAACATTGACGGAACCCACATCGCCGAGGCACTGTCGAGCGCAGACCCCGAGACGACGCTGTTCCTGATCGCGTCCAAGACCTTCACCACGGCCGAGACGACGACCAACGCGAACACGGCCAAGAAGTGGTTCTTGGAGAAGACGGGTGGCAAGGGAGACATTGCCAAGCACTTCGTTGCTCTGTCGACCAACGAGGCCGAGGTGACCAAGTTCGGCATCGACGCCAAGAACATGTTTGGCTTTGAGAGCTGGGTTGGCGGTCGCTACTCGGTCTGGAGCGCCATCGGTCTCAGCGTCGCCCTGTATGTTGGTTACGACAACTTCCACAAGTTCCTGGCCGGCGCGCACGCCATGGACAACCACTTCCGCAGCACCCCGCTCGAGGAGAACATCCCCCTCCTCGGCGGCCTGCTCAGCGTATGGTACTCCAACTTCTACAACGCCCAGACACACCTGGTGGCCCCCTTTGACCAGTACCTGCACCGCTTCCCTGCCTACCTGCAACAGCTGTCGATGGAGTCCAACGGAAAGACGGTCACATCTGACGGGTCCCCGGCTAAGTACACGACGGGCCCCATTGTGTTCGGCGAGCCTTGCACCAACGCGCAGCACTCCTTCTTCCAGCTCGTGCACCAGGGCACCAAGCTGATCCCGACCGACTTCATCCTCGCCGCCAAGTCGCACAACCCCGTCTCGGACAACCTGCACCAGAAGATGCTGGCATCCAACTACCTGGCGCAGGCCGAGGCGCTCATGGTGGGCAAGACCGCCGACGAGGTTCGCGCCGAGGGCAACGTGCCCGAGAACCTTGTCCCGCACAAGGTGTTCCTGGGCAACCGGCCCACGACAAGCATTCTCGTCAGCGGCCACATCGGCCCTGCCGAGCTGGGCGCGCTCATCGTCTACTACGAGCACCTCACATTCACCGAGGGCGCCATCTGGGACATCAACAGCTTCGACCAGTGGGGCGTCGAGCTCGGCAAGGTCCTCGCCAAGAAGATCCTGAAGGAGATTGACGAGCCGGGCGCCGTCTCGGGGCACGACGCCTCGACCGGCGGGCTGCTGGGCGCGTTCAAGAAGTATTCTAATCTGTAAAAGCCGGGGCGGCCGACATGAGTTTGTCTCTCTCTCTATCCCTATCCTGTTGTAATTGATGATTATCCTTCATTGTGACTACGATCCCTGGATACTGCTGCTGCTTCTGCTGCTTTGTTTGTTGCTGTTGCTGCTGTTGTTGCCGGTGTAGCGGAATGTTCATGTTTATCCTAGGGCTAGTATCGAGTAGATAGCAGAGCTTAGAATTCACTCTTATTAGAACTCCTCGTCTGGGCAGGCGATGCTCTCAGTTGCCATGACATCATGATCACTTTTCTGGCCTTTTGAACTGAAATGGTTATGAGGTGTGAATGGTTTTGGTCTTGTCTCTGGAAAGTGCAGCCAGTCCTCTTTCTGACTGGATCGGTAGTCTTATCTCAAGCCAGAGATGGCCAATAAACTGTGAACGATGTATTATCATTCTGAGTTTTGTTTTCTAATGCGGGAATGTTTGCCGAAAACCTTGGTCTGAGAGAAACCCAAACCTCGACTCCTCACACGACCTGTCCACCCGTCCACTCACACCAAAAAAACAAAAAAACGCACAGCTCCGCAACAAATGCACTCGACGAGGAGGCAGAATGAGAAACTGACTGGACAGCTTGCGGAAACAACCCGCGGCTGTCCAAGTCAAGTTGCTAAGGATAAATGATAGCTAGCTTCATTCTTTTCCTTCTCTTCTCTTCTCTTCTCTTCTGGCAGCGCAGAATATCGGAGGAGGAAAAGGAAGAGGGAAAGGAAGTGGCACAGCGAGCGGCGCCGCCAACGAACCAACACAGTACAGTCATTTATGGCTGGGTACCGGAAGGAAGAGACGAGACTAAAAGAAAGAAAGAAAGAAAAAGAAAAATGACAAGATGGCCGAGTTGGTTCAAGGCGCTAGACTTAAGAATTTTACTCCATAGAAAATTCGGTATTCTAGTATCGAAAGATGCGTGGGTTCGAATCCCGCTCTTGTCACTGACTTCACGTTATTTTTATTTATTTTTGCCCCCCTCTTTGTTTCCTTTTTAGTTTGGGGTGGTCTTAGTATTTTTGTTGGTATTGCTTTACGTCGTCGTTTCCTCTCCCATTTAGCTCAATCTGGGGTGTTTCCCCTTCATGCCTGTCTATCCCTTTAGTTTTATTTATTTATTTAACCATATTCAGCCGTGCGACAGCCAGCGGGTGACAGTGGCAGCTGCGTTGGCTGGCTCGAGCATCGGCAACTATGCCCCGAGGAACAAGAAGTCAGCACAAGTTATTTGTACAATGCCTCCATGCTACCTTCTTACCGTCGAAACGGTGCACAATCCACGCAGAGAGCTAGAGTAGGTAGGTAGGTAATCACGGTGTCAATTTCACTCCCCTTTTCTTTACTTTTTGGGCGCCTGATCCAATACATCTGGCCTCTCAACTGGTGACAGCCAACCTCTGGCACCGAGCATCGATGAACCAGGGAAACGAAATATCAATCTGCCTCGCCCATTCCCATGATTAGAGTCAAACCACAGTCCCTCAAACTCCTCCCGAGACCCAAATAGGGCAAAAGAGGAGAGAGAAAGAATCCCATCACAACCTTGCCCGACTTTTAGTAGAAATCAAGACAAGAAAACCCAAGGAAAGTCACGGAAAAATAAGAAAAAAAGACTGGAAGCCTGGATCCCTTATGCGAACTGCCGATTGCGGTTCACTGTAAAAGGTAGTATGGTTGGTCTTTCTTTCCATGCCCTGCCTTGCCTAGCAACTACCACCGCCAATACTGACCCGACCTCACGAAAAGAAAATAATAATATGAATGAGTAATTCCCTGCCGTTCCATGCTCGGGCCCCAACGAAAGTCGAGAGGAGACTATAACACACAAACATCCCAATGTCTGACGCCGTGATCGGAAAAAAAATCGTACACAGATAAAGGCGAGGAGAGAGAGATGAGCCCCTTCACAATTCACCTAAAGGACTTTTTTTTAGTTTCGCGGTATAGGCGACTCATGCTCGACGATTCTTCCCTTGACTCCGCAGTTCCAGGGGAGCCCCAAGCTTCCAATCCCTAGTGTTGTCCATTGTTGTAGTTGTTTCCCCAGCCACGAGGGGGGTTGCCGTAATAGCTTGCGCCGAAGCCCTGCCCTCCGTAAGCACCGTAGCTGTTCTGGTGTGTTTGCGCTCCAGTGGCGCTGACGCCGTATCCGGCAGCACCGGACTGGTTGCCGTGAAGGCCATGTCCTTGCAGCTGGCTTGGGTAGCCACCATATGCGCCAACTCCTCCAAGCCCCTGCTGGTTGGACTGCGGGGGCGGTAGGCCGGTTTGAGAGGGCCCGTTGTTGGCGGCCGAACCGGGACGAACAGCATTGGCGAGCGAAGGGCTCGGTCCGCCGGCGACCTTGGCATCTCCGAATGGCTTCAGGTCGTCGGCTGCTGACGGAACACCGCCAGGCTGAGAGCCTGCCGCAGCGAAAGACTGTCCGGCCTGCGACTGGTAGGCAGAGGCACCGCGTCCGAAAGCGTCATGCATCCCGGAAAACCCGCTGGCGCCGAGAGCCGGCTGCTGGGCTGACTGGCCCGTTGCTGCACGTCCATACTCGCCCAGTCCAGCGCCGACGCCGGCATCTCGGTGAAGGGCAGTTTGGCCAAAGCCCGCAGCGGGCGAGGCCCCGTAACCATGAGGTCCCTGGGGGGAAACACCGTACTGGGTGGGCTGGTATCCCAGACCGCCCTTGCCATAGGGTTGACCATAGGCACCCTGGTTGTAGCCGGTGCCCTGGTAGTTCATATACGCCGAGTAGTACGGGTTGTTGTAATAGGGGTGAGAATTGTAGGGGTACTCGTGGGGTTGCTGCTGGCCATGAGCCTGGTTGGCCTGGCCAGCTTGGCCCTGAGTCGTCGCCTGGGTTGGCGTCGGGGTACCGCCGACCTGTGCCTCGGTCGCAGAGCCCGAGCCAAAGCGCGATTGGCCATGCTGGGCGCCGCTCTGGGGGTACTGGCTCAAATTGTCGGCCTGGGGCGCGGTATACCCGCTGAAAGACCTCTGGCCCTGCGATGGCAGACCTTCTTGCTGTCCCTGGGCCCCCTGTTGTTGGGCAAAGTTTTGGTTATAGTAGTTATTATACGCGTTCCGGTTTTGCGGATCGGCCGTGTAGTACGAGGTGTATTCGCTTGGGGCCGAGCTGAAGGCGCCGCTAGGTTGTTGCTGGACCTGCGGTTGCACAGCCTGTCCCTGGCTCGGGAAGCCAGTCTCGAACTGGTGCTGGGCGGCCGGAGCCTGCTGCTGCTGACCGAAACTATCGAAGGGTTTCGACGTAGGGAACGATGCAGGCTCCTGGGGAGTGGGCTGGCCAAAACGACCGAACTGGCCATTCTGAGGGGCAGACGGCTGCGGAGCTCCTGTACGTTGTCTGGTCAGTTCCTCGCGCAAACGAATCAAAGTGAAGGCTCGAGGGGGTAATGCTCGGGGGGGCAACACACCATGCGGGCCAACTGGGATGTTATTCTGAGGAGTAGGTGTGGTAGCGGCTGCAGCAAGATCAGCAAAACGCGCCCAATCACGAGCAGATGGATAGTGGTAATCATTACCAGCAGGACCGGTTGGGGGGAGTGAAGAGACGGGCTTTTGAGCCGAGAAAGCCTCTGGGACCGGGGCGGGAGCCGCAGGGGGCAGCGACGTTCGCGGATGGGCAACTGGGGAATCCTCTGGAGGCTGGGGGCGAGTCTCTGGCTCCTCCCGATCGCCGTCAATATCCTCGTCAATCGGACCATTGAGACTGAATGCGCCAAATTGAACAGCGGCGCGATCGACCTGGTCGCGATTTCCGGGCATACGAACAGGTTCCAGCTGATCGAGAATACGACGGGGGAAGTTGGGTGTGCGGTTTGCCGCTCGGTCCGTTGTTGCCTTGTTGGCGGTCGCGGCGAAACCACTGGCGGGAATACGCGGAGCCTGCTGATGCTGGTGTTGCGAAGCCGAAATGGGTGTGGCGGTAGAGCTGGGCGCCGGGGCGTGGGGGTCCCAAGAATCAGCAGCTTCGCTTGCAGCAGTTTCTGTCTCGGGAGGGTGGGAATCGTCGGCAACTTGTTCGAGATTGACCTCTGTGAGCTGATCCTTCGACGGTGCGAGAACCACGTCGGGGACAACTACTGCGGGAAGCTCAGTCGGAGGAGCAGGAGTTGGCTCTTTGGGAGCCTCGGGCACCGGTTCCTCGGCAGCCGCGGGTGGCTCGGCATCAAGCTCAACTGGCTCGGGAACAGACACGGGTTCAGTGACAGGCTCTGAGGGCTTAGAGACGGGAGCTTCCTTCGGCTTCGGGGCCGGCTTCGGGGCAGTCGATTGTCTCAACATGCTAGCCCACGTCTTTTGAGTACCCTCGGGGATGACACTGGCCTTAGGAGTGGCAACGGGCGCTACAGAAACAGGAGCGACAGCAGGAGCAGTCTCTGCTTGTGTCGCAGGCGTCTCCCCAGTCGCGGTCGAATCGACCCATGGAGCCGCCTCGTCGGGAACTTTGGGAGCGTCCCACTCCGGGGCGTCTTTAGTAGGGACAGATAGAGGTAAGGTTTCAGCATTGCGAGTGCCATTGGTTGCGGCGTGGGTCGATTTACCACGGCCGCCACCACGGCCACCGCGCTCGGTAGCTCTGCCGCGACCGCGACCTGCCTCTGCACCTAGGCGTCCGCCTCGAGTTGTTCGCGCAGCTCCTGGAGCGACATCGCCAGTGGTGGTGGTAAACGTGTCGCCCTTCCCCTTGGTTCGAGTGCGCTCCTTCTTCGACTTGGAGACCTCGCCCCATTTGGAGGTTCCTAGAACGAAAGGTTAGTGAGTAGACTGGACAAACGGGAGGAGGACTGGAGGAGGATGATTGGCAAATGGCAGGCAACGCGGGTGTGGGCAAACTAGCTTGAGGAGCACTTTTGGGGGTAATCGCGATGCAGAAGAGCTGCAATTCGAACACGGGCGCGAAGGGGCACAGCAGGGTCGGTCAGTCAGTCAGCTTACCTGAAGAGATGCGGGTGGCTGTCTCGAGTTCGTCGCCATCTGTATCCTGCAGAACATAGAGAATGTCGAGTGCAGACCACTCTGGGAACATTTCCTCGAAGAAGGCGAGCTTGTCGCCGTATTTCACCTTGAGCTCTGCAACCTCGCCCTCGTCCTCTAGGGTGGGCATCGCCGAGTCTGCGTCGTGCTTGGCCTCGCCATTTGCAGGCGACTGGCGGCTGACGGCGCGCCCTCCTCCCCGGGTCGAGAATCCGCCGCCACGGCCGCGACCAGAGCCTCTGCCGCGCGAGGCAGCTGGTCTTGAGACGACCTCAGACATTGCTGAGATTGTGGGTCGGAATCGGTCAAAAGAAGCTGGCGATCGATGAGTCGCGTCGGCGGCAACCAAAACGGCGAATGGCAGTGGCAGAGGGATCGACGACAAAGGTTCACGGAATGGAAAAGAGATGTGTTCCGCGGGTGCACGGCGAATCGAATGCGACCCGACAGATGGATCGAGGCAGTGTGTGGTGGTGGATGGTGGATGGAATGTGAAGGGGAGGCAAGGCAAGAAGGAGGTTCGGTTTTTGACGATTCAGAATTGGCCCGCTGAAAAAAAGAGTGCAGGAGGCCACACTGCAATCCAAATCCACCTGGGCCACCCGCTGAGGGCTTGTACCGCACCAGCGTGACACCCGCTGAATTGCGCGCGACAGCCTTGGCCAATTTTTTATGGGGCACACCGCTCGTTTTTGCACAAGGCTTCATGCATTTGAGTTGTTGTCCCAACTTTCCTACTCCCGACCTTGGTAAGGTAGGTACCGCAATAGTCACAGGGCGTATCCATATTCCGCCCTCTAACAAAAGAACCGAGAGAGGGAATTGGAACTGTCGTCCCAACCTACCTGAACCATTAGGCAGGTAGGTCCCACCACCCCCCGGCTCCGTTCCCGTCTTTCAACTCGCACTCACTTTCATGTCAGCCCGGTTGCAGGTAATTGTTGCATGACTATCC